GGGTGTGGGTGTGGGTGTGGGTGTGGAGTGTGGATGTGGAGAGAGTGTGGGGTGTGGGTGTGGGTGTGGGTGTGGAGTGTGGATGTGGAGAGAGTGTGGGGTGTGGGTGTGGGTGTGGGTGTGGAGTGTGGATGTGGAGAGAGTGTGGGGTGTGGGTGTGGGTGTGGGTGTGGAGTGTGGATGTGGAGAGAGTGTGGGGTGTGGGTGTGGGTGTGGGTACGAATGAAAAGAACACCCACACCTCGCATGATTTCGTACTCATACGGATAGAGGCATGATTTAGTATCCACACGGATATATATATATAGTTTAGCACCCGTAAGGGTACAGCCATGATTCAATACTCGCAAGAGTATAATTATACTTTAATACCCATAAGGGTAGAGGCATGATTCAGTACGCGCAAGGGTGTAAATATACTTTAGTACCCATAAGGGTATAGGCATAGCTTTCGAATGTCTTGCAAAGATCTTAGAAATATCTTTTAAAGATGTTTCGAGGATGTTTAGGGTAGCTCCAGGATCACGGCGACCCGATACGACCGTCTACGGCCGTAAACGGTGGCTGCATACGGCCGTAATACGATGCATGGAAATACGGCGAATTTACGGCCGTATACAGTCGTTTGTGGTTGCTGTAATGCTCGTTCTGGGATTATTTTAGAGAGAAATATAACTTACTTGAAATATGACAGCAAACAACAGTTTTTAAACAGTTTGCGAGTTGTATATAAGGATTGTGAAACTTTTCGATAAGAAAATGCCAACTAGTACGTGCCATAAAAAGACTATAGAAATCACTTTAGATATTTATTAATTGGGCCCATTGAGCACAGATCCACTATACTATAAATCAATAATGCAATTGGTCTTTATTTGAACGCTGCATATATGATGTCAAAAAGAGGTCGCTTCTGTTAATTATATCAGATTGTATTTTCACCACACCTAGTATCTCAAAAAACGTTTAGTATGGACCTCTAATAGTTTTGAACATAATGTATAAGAGTTTTGAACCAAGCCCTTCCAAATCGATAGCACTATATGAGTTTTATACGAAACATTTTAAGTCACAAGAGGTATAAAGAGATTTTATACGAAACCTTTTTATACTCTTAAGAATATAAAGGGGTTTATGCAAAACCTCTTTGAACTTCAACCTTTATGAAGAGTGTCATAAAAAACCTTTTCAAGCTCTAAATTTTTCAAACAGTTTGATAGGAAACCCGTTTTTGCCTCCAACGTTCGAAAAGTTTTTCTTTATGAAACCTTTCTGAGCTCTAACACTCTTGAAGAATTCTATACGAAACCTGTCTTAATCATCCAACACTTATTAAAGGTTGTATACAAAGCCTTCTTTAGTTCCAATACTCATAAAGAACTGTGTACAAAACTTTTGTGGATTTAGACTATAAAAATGGTTTCGTACGAAATCATTTGTTAGCTTTTAGGTTTTGTAATGGTTTTATACGAAGCCATGTACATCACTCAACCTTTTACAGATTTCGTATAACTGCACGGTAACCTTTGGAATACGTTAAACTTGCACGAAACTCTAAGGGTTTCGTCGAACACCTTTTTTTTCAGTGTAATTTAATACGCGGTTTTAACCCTAAAAGTATTTTTCATGCAAAGAAGATTATTAATATGAAGTAACTTAAAAGTTTTACGCTCGACATGCTAAGTTGGAGAATAAATATTGTAGATGAATCTGACCTGTACGAAAAAAAAGAGGAATTAGATATTAACCTTATTTCAGAAAGTAATATTGAAAGTGAAGATGAACAATATCTTTCTCATCAAATAAAATTTTTAACGATTTAGATGGAATTAATTTCTCCTGAATGCAAGTATTCGATACAATTCGACCTAAATCAGCAAAATCATGTTTTGAAGTTGAATCAGGTGGTAAAAGAAAATTCGTTCATTAAAAGATCGCTTGCTGGATTCTTAGTGATAAAAGTCAACCTTTTCAAATGATCGCGTCACTTGCGTTATGCAAAAAGTGGACATTAAGACATTTGTTATTTGTTCGAGTTTTTTGTATTCTTTTTGCAGATTTTTTTTTGTTATTATATTTTTTGAAAAGAAAATTGATGATTTGGTTTTTGTATCTTTATTGAAACACATAAAACATGAATGAAGAATAACAATAGAACTTAGTTCGATTTTATAAAAGAAAAATAACCTCAATTCATCTTCTGCATTACTCCATAGATTTTTCAACAATATTAACATAATGAAGTGAGTCGTATTTTTATGCGCATTTTCATTCGTCAGTGGAAAGGATTTTATCTACAGAATATCGTCAATCCAATTTCATATTATTGAGTAGTTAAAGATTTATATATTAAATGAGAATAACAAGTAGTAGAGCACTTTTCAGTTAAAATCTACGTTTCTCATGTTGATATATAGGCCAGAAAAGAAATCTTCACTCGCCCGCCACGAAAAACACTAAACTGTTTAATACCATAGTTATGTTGAATTTTAATTATTTCTTCACAAAAATCAATTCAATATATTTCTAGCTCATAAAGTATTTTTGTTGTCAATCACATGGCTTCTGAAGAAGAAACGGTAAAGCGTAGAAATATTGAGAATATTTTCAATCGGTAGTGAATATTGAATATAGTGTACTCTATCGACTCTCATTGCACTCCCAGAGTCCACGAAGTCCACTTGGAGTACATGAGCTCCACATAGTATAAGAGTGCGCCGTTTCCTCCTTTCTCTTCATTAGAATCTTCTATCGGTGTTCAAATCATGTTTTCGAGCAATTTATCTTTTTCAAGTACTCTTCCATATGACATGAACTCCATATTTCTGAAGTTGTGTGGGTATTCTTTGCCTTTCATGTCATACTCATAATATCGAAAATTGCTTAACTTTCTATTGAAGTCTTGGTGAAATTCACACGAGTTTTATATGCTCAGCAAATTTGGTTTCTTTTAAAGATGCATTAAATACAGTTTACTGTGCAACTATTGCCTTTCCGTTAAGGTTAGCTTAGTTGTTTATGACATTTCTAAAAATGTCTCATCAATATTGCCATAAATTTGAAGATTGAGAATTAGAAATAATCCTGTGTCACAGTAGGAATAACCTTTCAGAGAAAGCATAATCCTACGTATATTTCGAAGCAGTCCTGTTATAACTTGTCCTTAAAAATAAGCTTAAACGAAATAATAGTATACTTTTGTCAACTTTTTCCACCTTGAAACTTTCTTGCTTAATGTCGATTCTTTCCAATTTTGAGGCCAAAATGGTCATAGTTATTAAACAATTGAACAAGTAGTTAGCGTGAAATTTTGATCCTATAAATTTTTATCTTGTTGGAATGTAGCACGCCACAATTACAACGTACGACTACGAATAAGTTAATTCTTTTTTCTAGCGTACTATTGCCCAAAAAAATATACACTGTACATTCAATAATCATACGGAAACTTGTTGTCAATTGTTAGCCAGGTACTAAGCTCAAATGAATTGCCAAAAAGTGGTAAGTAATTATCAGAGAAAAACACGTACAACTAGAAATATAAACAGTATAAGTAACAATTAAGCAGTGTTTGACTAATGAAAACCAGTGTATTTAACCCATTGTTTATTTCCTAGTCTATTTATACTAGAATGATTGTTCACTTATTTTTAATGAATTTCTTAATATGCCTTTCATAAACTATAAAATTTATTATTCATTTAGTGAAGTCTTTTCAGGATAATTAGAATAAGATTTTTGCTTTTTATATAAATAATCATAATCAAAGTAATTTATTTTTTAGATTGAAAATCTACCTCCAGAATATTCAACCTTGAACACATTCATAAACGGAGGTTTTGCTTTACTTGATTATTCGCCGATAAAATACGTTTGGATTGTACGTTCATGCACTATTTTCGATGAAGAACTGGATGTCACATCAATCTGTGCTATGTGTGCTGTACAAGATGTTATTTTTTATGATTATAACAACTGATGCAGTAGATAACGAGCTTCACACTAGAAAAGGCATAATACATGGCCGACGAACAGAACACACAATCGAATATTTAGGGTTAGATTTTAGAAAATTTTTCATTTTGCAAAAACACGATAGAAAAAATGAAGACAATGACTATGTTATGAATACCTGTGTAAACGATAAAATTTAGCATTAGTTAGGAAGATCGAGGAAATTTCCTTAAGATATTCGAAATTTGATTAAAAATTTGATCAATGCAATATTTTAAGGAGCACATGCCAATAAATTATAGTGAATTGTTTTAATCAGAATTCTATTGCATATGAATCTAAATTTTGCTGAAATCAAGTCTACTTTTAAGATTTTCAATAATTCATAGCTACTTGACTCTGAAGTTAAAACGAGTTTTATACAGATTGTTTCATTTAATTTCATCTTCGTGCTCTTATATTCGTGAACGAAATTTCACATAATTTTACCACATTTTTCTTTTGCAATTTGCGCGCTTTCAGTTTACTGCATGTAAAAATCAATTTTTCATAAATAATAAATTATCGATTTATTTCAAAACATTATAGAATTCAATATGCTAAAGCAAATCGATGGCAACCACCAATTGATCTTGCACATGAAAGATTTCCAAATGGTTCATTTGAAGCGACATCGTTTGGTCCATGTTGCCCTCAACCAGAAGTCGGATTGCACATTACTGCACAAGACGAACAATGTTTATATCTAAATATTTTTACACCAATAAATAAATCCAAAAAATCTCTATTACCAGTTCTCGTTTGGATTCATGGAGGTGGTTTGGTAACTGGTTGTTCATCACAAAGTATTCCATTATTATACAATGGCACAAATATAATTCGACATTCACTCGAGCAACCAGTAATTGTGATAACAATCAATTATAGATTAGGAATATTTTCTGATATGTATCTTACTGAATTAGTTGAAGAAAATACTGAATGGCCAACAGCAGCAAATTATAATTATTTAGACATATTATCTGCATTGCGTTGGATCAATAGTAATATTCGTGATTATGATGGTGATCCAAACAATGTTCTACTTTTTGGAGAAAGTGCAGGAGGACGAGCTGTTGGTGACATAGGTGCATTCAAAGGATCTTTGAATCTCTATCGTCACATCATATCACAATCAGGTGGATTTGGTGCCGTCTTCGTTTATACAAATATAAGTACGGCTCTTCAAAAATCAAATTCCATTGTCAAAAAATTAAACTGTCAGAATAATGAAAACGAATCTGTTCTTGAATGTTTACGTAAGGTCTCCGTACATGATTTAATTGTTATCTATGGTGATGGATTGACTTCAGTTATTGATGGTTACTTTTTTCCCTATGACCCTCAATCGGCTATTCAACATGGGACGTATAATCCAAATATAAATATGATAGTGGGTTTTAATAAACATGAATTGCCAATGTGTTTACTTTATCCAGATATGAACTCTACGCTTGCTATTTCAACAATAAATATATATCTAGGAGAAGGTAGAGCATCTATGGTTATCAATTCTTATCAACTACATAATTGTTCATCAAATAGTAATGATCCAAATCGTTGCTGTGATATAGTTGGTCGCCTTCTCACTACTTGGTTAGGTTGTGGAATTCGTCGTCTATTTAATTCTATACATATGAAATATAGTGACAAGCAACATAATCTATTTTGGTATAATTTGGATTGCAATGCAGGAATATGTCCACTATTCACAAAAGAACAAGGAGGTGGTATATGTGCTCATACATTCGAAATTCCATTAGTATTTGGAACTGAAAGTGACTATGGATCAACTAATCCCATGAACTGTACATGGGATAGGCAAACACGATTATATTCAAATAAAATTATTTCACATTGGATTAATATGGCTGTAACAGGAGAACCATTGAAACCATGGTTAAAATACGATCCATCAAAATCAAATTATTTACAACTAACACCCTACCATGAATTTTCTATGGAATCATGGAATGAAGATTGTTCGATTTTCGATGAAATCGAAAAAGATCATTCATTTTAAATGATTTTTGATAGTAATGATGAGTGAATCAGATGTTGAAGTACGAACAGTTTTGAATATCTTTGTTTATCGTGTTGCTAATGGTTAAATGTAGCTTCAATTTTTTCAAAAATAAAAATTAATGCTAATTACATATTCAAAATAACCAAGTGAATTAACTAATGGATCTTTAAAAATACTATCAAGAAGAGAGTAAGGGTGTGGGTGTGAGTGTGGATGCGGGTGCGATCGTATCTTTCAGGGTGTGGGTCTGGGTGTGGATGTGAGTGTGGTGTGGGTGATGTAGGGTATGGGTGTGAGTATGGATGTGTGGCTGTGGATGTGAGTATTCATTTTCTGTACACATATACCTCCATAATATGGCTTATCTGTACGTCTGTTATTGGATGAAAAGTTAAAAGTCTGAAGCCAGTCGTTAGAAAAGAATCGAGCCGTGGAGTGTACACGGGTTGTCGCGAGTACAGATATATTATTATACCAAAAAAACAGTAAAAGCATTTATTTAAAAGAGGCACATGAAATTCTATCATTATTGTGTTTAGAAATAGCCATTAGACACCTCATCACGCATTTATCTTCTAAGTAAATACATATATTTTTTCCTTTTGTTTTACTTTGCTGTTATCTTTCTGTTTCTGTTAAAAGTTTGGTTGCAATATTTGCTATAATAAAAAATTAAAAAACCTACTCTCCTGTATGGCAAGATATCAGTTGTCGTTTTCTCTTTTTTTTCAGGACTAGTTTCACTGAAGGTAAGAAGTTGAATACATTTTTTGAATAATTTAACCTAAGTATCATTATGAGAAAGTCATGAAATATGAAAGTATCTGATCTTAAACAAAATATTATGCAAATATTAAATCCTTTTAACTGGCAACGGCTGAGTTCCGTGTCTTCTTAACTGCTGAACTCAAAGAATAACATAAAGCAGCCAAACCATTATAAAAAAACACAACTAAGCAGAACGCTAGTAACTCTAAGAACTCAAAGAAAGGTGATTTGAGAGTAGTTTGAAGGTAAGGAAAATTTGTAAAATGCACGAACCCCAGGAACACTCATGAACACCCAAATCTTTTAGCAATGAATAGGACACCTCGAGTTGGGTACACATCCAAAATATAAGATCTTCATTTTGTAGCTTAAGAAAAATAGCAACGGACACATTTTCTCGGTTGTCGGCTACATACAAGGTCTTATTATAAGAATAAAAAACGAGAAAATGCGTCCCTTGATATTATTCTTAACTACAAGATGAAGATCTAATATTTTTGGTATGTACGTAGCTTGAGTTGGCCTACTCACTTCTAAATGATTTGGGTGTTCGTAGGTGTTCACAGCTTCGAAAAAACAGTGTCTGTTTGAAAATCATTCTTATGTTTTCGATTTGGGGAATGTTAATGGTTGTGCAAGTGAGGGCGAATGTTGAATATTGATATCCTTTGTTGCTTGGATTCTTAGAGTTCTTGTAGTTTTTAATTTGCTACTGTTCCCTTAGTTGTACTTTATAGCTGTTTAGCTGTTTTGTATTGTTTTTTGAATTTAGGAGCTCTTGCAGAATTCAGAACTGTCGGAGTTCGGTGAAATCTCCTGTTAGCGTTATGTTTGTGAATATTGTTTGATATTTTCATTTTAGTAGATCATCTTAACATAAATATTAATGAATTCACTTTCAAGTGCGGTTTCGACTATTCAATCTAATTTTCATCATCTTATTATGAAACGTTGTGACTTTCTAAGTGATGAGGAAAAGAATTCTGAATTGCCAAATTTAACCTTGTATTTTGAATCATTGATAAAAGTGATCAAAAATAATCCTGACAAAACTAGCGTAAAATTTGGTGAAGAGGAAGAAGATACTCTCACCTGTATAACAATACCAAGTCTAGCTAAATATTTTGGTATTCCGGGCATGTATGGTGGATTTACAATTGAATTTCAAAAACAAATTGATAAAGAACAAATGAAGCTAATAAATATAGAAGAATTGTGTCAATGTAATATTTGTTTATTATTAAAAGGGCATCAATTTATCGATTCTCCGATTATCGATTTGGATGAATTTAAAAAATGGTCTTTGATAACAAGTAGTTGGTCTCGGATGTCTGGTGGTAGTGGAAAAACGCATAAAATTAACTCAGATGGATATGCTCTAATAGATGAAGGTTTCGTTTAATAATATCTGTAGCATAAACTTTTTTTAATATTGATTTCTATACTAAAATTTGTGATAATACATACTAAAGAGATTTATAGAACGAAAACAACTGTTGCTAAATATAGGTATCAAGGTTGGGGGTGGATCGTACTTGGAACCGGACTGACTAACTGGTGGGGTGTGAGTGTAAGATTTTATGAAGAGAACACGCACGCACACCAGCATACTTTACCCATACCTACACCCCACCCTCATTTCAAAGTAAAAGAAGGTTGAATATTATTCGAATAATTTTCGATGAAAACTAGATAGAAATCTGCAGTGTGCACCATTTAAAAGAGGTGGTGAAACTACATCGAATTTTTCTGATAGCGTTTTTTAGAGTCTCGTACCAAGACTTTTAGAAAATCGGGGCATTTTAATAGGTTTAAAAGATGACGTCTCTTGCTTCAAAATATGTTAGAAATACTTTGTAGAATCTTCATAACACATGATGAGGTAAATCTTTGGGCGTCGAACTTACAGAGATTATCAAGCTATCGTTAATGATCCTGACACACTATTAAAAACTTAGATTTCAAAAGTGTTATATTACCCAATATTTTGTTGTTGGAAAGCTTGTCAGAGGATCATGAAAAAGCACGCCAGAAAAATTTAGCATTGGTAATTCGATGTCGTTTTACCGTCTCTTTTAAATGGTAAAAACCGTAGATCTCTATTTAGTTTTCATCAAAAATGATTTCAAAAATACTCACCCTTCTTTTATTTCGAAATAGATGATTGTTAGAGAAAAAGTCTATTAAAAATGAGCAGTTATTTCTGCTGTTCCTATTACTTTCATAAAATGATTTCTATTATCTTATCTTGAATTATCAGGTGAAGAACGATATGATCATTAATGTGCTCTAAAACCATATAGACAGTGTCGATCATATCAATCATCCTTTATTTTTAGAATCATATTTATCACCATTAATTACTGATTGAAGACCCAATACACTTCGACGAACTATTTCATAGCTTTGTTTCAAATCAACTCATCATCAAAATAATACAACAATGAATCTATTGAATGCACGATACATTGGAAAATATCATCTTTCTCAAACAAATGGCAGTAATAAATACAAAAAAATTGATATTGAATGTCGATATTTTTATTTTGTTGTTGTTTAGGAAATAAAGATAAATTTTGATTTTCTGTTTATGCTTGGCAAATATAATTTTCATAATCAAATTTTTTCAATAATAATATATAAACCCATGTAAAATCGGGCCATATAGAAGTATTATTACCTTTGGCATCTTGATACCATGAACGACAACCACCTTTTTGCCATACTGTTTTCTTTAGTTGTAATTGTAAATTTTCATTAAATTTTTCATAAACATCTTGTTTTATATCAATAGATCGTATATTATTTTGATTCATATAAAAAAATGCTTCAGCTATATAATTTATTTGTGCTTCAATCATAATTACAACTGAATTATGACCAAGTGCTGTATTTGGACCAAGAAGAATAAAAAAATTTGGAAAATTAGGTACAGTTATACCACGATATGTCTAATTAATATAAATCGAAATAAATCGAATAGTCTTTTTTTTTAAATATATTTACTTGCATTGTTTGAGACCATTTATCAGCTAATGAACAACCATTTATTCCATAAACACGTAATGGAAATTCTTGTGCTAAAAATCCTGTTGACCAAATAATAATATCAACTGGATATTCATTTCCATCATAAGTTAGAATTGAATGTGATTTAATTTCTTGAATACGATTTGTTACAAGTTTAACATTTGATTTTTGTAATGTTGATAACCAATCATTAGTTATTAACGTACGTTTACATCCAAATTCCCATGTTGGTGTTAATTTTTTTCGTAATTCTTTATCTTTAACTTGTCTTTCAAGATTCAATTTAACTAATTTTTCAATTAAAAATTTCAATGGCCAACGATAAACAAATGAAAGTGCAAAAAATTCCATTATCCAATAGATAAGAACACGCATAAATTTTTGAATAATTGGAAAACGTTTATATAAATTTTTTTCCCAATCAGTTATTAATCGATCAAAACGAGGTAGAATCCATGCTGGTGTTCGTTGAAATACAAATAATTCTGATACATTCTGTTGAATTTCTGGTACTGTTTGAATCGCACTTGGTCCTGTACCAATAACAGCTACACGTTTATTATTTAAATCAATTGTTTTATCCCATTTAGCTGTATGACACATTCGACCTTGAAATTGATCAATACCAAGAATATCAGTTGGATAAGATGGATTTGATAATAAACCACAACCAAGAACAATCGATTGAGCATAGAAAATTTTTTCTTGATTATTTGATTCAGTCGTAACTTGCCATAATTGTCGTTCTTCAAGCCATGTTAATTCTGTTACATTTGTATTAAATTGAATATGTTGACGAATATCATATTTATCTGTACAATATTCAAGATATTCAGCTATTTCAGCTTGTCGACTAAAATAATGTGACCATTTCGGATTAGGTTCAAATGAATATGAATAAAGATTTGATGGAATATCACATGCACAACCTGGATATTTATTAGCATACCATGTACCACCAATATGTTCATGTCGTTCAATTAAAATATAATTATCCATTCCAAGTTCATTCATTTTAATAGCCATACCTAAACCAGAAAAACCAGTACCAATTATAATAACATAATATTCATCATTTTGTTGATTATTTATTATTTTTAATTTTCGTTTCGTTCGCTTTTCATAACGACCAAATGAATCAAATAAAAGCCAATAGATGAAATGTCCACTAAGACCTACGACTAACGAACTAAGTAACACGATCAAAAAACCAAGTACTAAGAATAATTTATTCCATAGAGTATTTTCCATCTAAAAAAATTTTGCTAACCTTTGTATTTTTACTTCTGACTATCAAAATAATGTAACATTTAAAATACGATCGAATTCTCCGTATAATGAAAACAAAAGAATGTTTACGATATATAAAAATATTTTCTTGATTATTTAATATATTCGAATTTACAAATATTAAAATAGATATTGTACAACCAAAAATGAAAAGTAAGAAATGTGTCAATGATTCTTATTCTCAGTATCACATACACAGAAATATTACCGTAATAATAAGTCATGACTTGTGTCAATATTTACGATGCTCTAGCAGCAAGGTAAAAAGAAACACAAAAACAGAGAATTGCTTTGATTTTCTTTTTCTTTTTTTCACTTTTATAGTGATAGCACAATGATTTACCTGTCAAGATACGTACTCTTATCATCTAATACTGTATCATTTACGAAAGTAAAGAAATAAGAAAAATAAAAGTTCTTTATTTTTAATGTATGTATTGTATTTTACTTTTAAAGAAGTTGCTTTTAACATTATAACATACGATGCAAAATATAATGGTACAAAATGTTGATCCCTATTTCACATTGATAGAAAGGTGCCGAATAAAGCTTTTTTTCTATCAAAAGATAGAACATTCTCTCTTCTTTCCAATTGTGTATAACTTACTTTTATCAAACGTCTATAAATGGAATGGTACATTTTAAAAAAAAGGGAGACACCCTCAAAGCAAATCTGCACTTTTTGCGTAATTTAGAAACACATAAAAAAGTGTTAATTTCTTTAGTTTTTGGATAAACCTTTCATAAGCACGTTTTGAAATAAAAATTAGACAAAGAAAAAGAGAGACTCCTGCAAAAAATTTGCAAATTTTATATTATTTAGGGATAAAACATTTAGTTAGGAAGAAATTAATTTGATTTTCGTGTATTTATTAAAAGGTGCTTGTGAAACAGTAGTACTTTCACGTTTATAAACTCTTTAAAGAACAGTTTATAAAACTACAACTAATAATAATAAACTGTCATCTATCGATATTTTCGACTAATTCATATTAAATTACAAATTTATTCCAGGAGTCTTTCTGTTTCTTCTTCATCTAGTTTTTATGTACGAATGTGTGACAAATATGAATCATAAACCGCTCGAAAGAGGAGAAAGTCTCTTGTCGATTGATAACAAAAATTTCTTTTTATAACTTATTTATGGAAGAGATATGAGAGTTGACATTTTCTGCTGTTCTTTTATTTAAAAAAAAGTGCGGATCTGTTTTGATGGTGTCTCTCTTTTTTTATTTTACCGTTCTATTTATTTACATATTATAAAAGTAAGTTATGTACAATTTGAAAAAATGAAACAATATTCTATCTTTTGGTAAACAAAATTTTCTTTCAGTACGTTTCTATTGAAGTAAAATAGGGATCAACGTTTTATACCATCACCTTTACGTCATATGTTACATATAAAGCTTTATGTTATAAACACTAGTAAATATAATATGAAATAAAATCGTCGACCACATAGATTAACTGTAAAAAATGTCGAAAACCTAATAGGAACATAAAAAAAAATGCACATGAGAGTTATGAGCAGTAAAGAACACGTTTTATTATGTGAGTTAGTGGTAATATTCTAAGAGTGATCAAGTATAGATAATGAAAAACATTACTTAGAGTAGTTACTATTGTTTTATTCAACTCGAAAATATATTCCTCTACTAAGAATAAAAGATCTTTTATTTACACTTATACATGAAACATTCGAAGACTGCTTCAGGTATATCAGTTGAAAATGTAATAGCTTCAGCCATGACAATACAATTTTAGTTATATAATAAATCTTCATTCAGGTCTTATTTTAGTTCTATCAGTTATTATTCATCATCATTATTATTGCGTGAAATTCTACAATAGTAGGATTTTAAGAAACATGATAAGATTTATCATTTACTACAAGCATAATTTTGTTAGATACTTTCCTGTTTCGATATTCTTTCATTTTAATATTTATATTTCGACTATATATCTACTAGTCATAATGAATAATTGCTCGATTAGTACATAATCTCGTTGTCATTCTACGGAATCGATATATTGAAAAACAAAAATTTATCGATTATTAATAATATTCAGATTTAACTTTCACTAAACGAAACCTTAAAGATAAAGATGAATTAAGTTTGTCGGGTTGTCCACCTAACGTGACATTTCAAGCATTAAGTATTTATTTTAAAACTTTGAATAAACATTTATGCCATGTTGCAGAGTATGTTCGAAAGTGTACGGAAATATATTTTCCTATTCAAGAAATTATTTTTCTGAACCTTAAAAATATATATATATACATTAATCCTCATTTATCACACATTGGTAGCGATTTTGTTTTTGGCAAAAGAACTAATTTTTATCCTATTCTTCATCTTGAAATATTTTCAATACAATACTTGATCAATATCGCTGTCACATCGTTACGAAAAGACCTGATTTTATACTTGTTTTTTTTACTGAAAACTGTTCCATCTGGAGGGAGATAAGCATAACAGTTTGACAAAGACTTGATTTTTTTTATGCCATTTTTAGTTTATATAATTGAGCAATACTTTCAATGTTACAGACATTAGGTAGCAATTAAACCTTTGGGGACGGTTGGGCCCTTAAGAAGTCATAGTGAGGGTATGGGTGTATTTTCTTTTAACTAGATAAGAAAAGAAGCATACGACGTATTTAAGAAAAAAAACCAACGACATAAAGCACATGATATCATCTTAAATAGACAACTACGCACCTTTCAAGCCTTAGCAATTGTTTCGGTGAGAACCAGTGCTGCACTCTAGTAAATAACTTGTTTGGGCAATTTGAGCACAGAATCAAATTCATTTACAAGTTATGAAGATGTTCCAAATAGAAGACATCTATTAGGAAGAATGAAGATAATAGGTAATCAAAACTAGTGACTAATTTTTGCTTTAATAAACCGTCTGCATCTATTCTAATGTGGTTGCTTTCATTTATATTATTGCATAATTTGCTCCTAGTTTTATTTTATCCCTCATTGCCACTTATTCAAGTAGCTATGATCAAGTCATTAGTGTAACATAGTCAATAATGTTATCAGCGAGCCTGTAAAAATCGACGATATTAACCTTGTAGAATATGACTAAAAGTGTCAACTTATATGCTTCCTAAATAGTGACAGATGGGTTTTCGAAGCTATCAGTTAGCACGTTTTACCAACGCATAGTCAGAATATATAAAGTGCTTCTTCATTGCGATTCTCTAATATCTATTTTGAAGTTTAAATGGACACCAACATTTTCTGAATAAGTTTTGATTGACAAGGAGTTGCGCAGTAGAAGAATGTACTCTGAGGCGTTTTCCTGCACCATTCATTTTTGTACGAATGTTTACACTTTGATATTTTTCTTTCAACAACTTTTTTTGGTTTCTTTAATTTTTATTCTATCAAATTGTAGTTGAAATTTCACTGTATAGACAGTTAAATGACCATACATCAAAGTGACTTTGTGAAGAAAAAAGACAATTTATCAGGTATAAAGAAAAATTCCTGTTGTAATTTAGCATAATGGAAACTAGGATGTGGAAAAAATTCATTAAAAAAAACTAACGTATCGAACTATAAACAGTTGCACAAAAGTGTTTGATGACTCAAATGAATCATACAAAAATATGCCTCAGAGTTTGCTCTTTTCGACTACGCAACTCTTAACTAATCAAAAGTTATTCAAAAACTTGAATATGATTATTGAGCTCTGAAATGAACAGTCGAGTAAGGTAAACGATGTTAAAGATATATGTAGCGTATACATAAAATCAGATATTTTTCAGACGATTAGCTAGAGTAGTTTTTTTTTCTGTTCTCTTGAAGTTTAATTACCGAAAACGTAAAGATGTGTATATTTTAGATAAATATTTCCACTCAAGTTAACCGTTACAATATGAATATAAAGTTGATTACTACCATTGTCTTTTTTATCGTATTAATTATCGTACAAAGTGGGATTGCAATTGACTGTTACTCGTGTTTGGATTGCCCAAAGGTATACAGTTCCACGCCAACAGCGTACGCGCCATATGGGTGGTGTGTAAAAGCGTTTGAAAAAAGAGGTGGACGAGACTACGTCGTCCGCGGTTTTTGGTTGGGACCACAACCAGGATTACGAAATTGTACCGAAGTTGAATGTAAAGTAGATCCAGCTAGTGGTGGAACAGCTTGTTGTTGTAACACAAACTTATGTAATGTAACCAGTAGATTATCATCTATGACTATGTTCCTGGCAATATTAATCGTGATCATTTTCATTATAAATCCTATAAAATATCGTTCGTAGACTCGTAATATATTGGATTAATCATGAAACTTGAATACATACTCTCGTGTGACTCAAGACTTTTTCAAAAAAAACGTTATCGACAGTTTGAATTTGATTAGATTTTGTCGAATAACAGAAATAAAAATGACTTTTTATTAACATAATATACGTTTTGTACAGCTAGAATACGGTTTTCTATGTCAGTTTAGTGTGTGTGACTGCACATATGGCGTGATTGAACCGAAGATTCAAAGCTACATATGTACTCTCGTATCTTGTAGTATATTTTGTTTTTTTTAATGCTTTGTACTAGGTGATGAAGAGATGAATCGAAAAACAAAACAAGTGTATAAGTCTGGATGTAAATAAAGGAAAGAAGAACATCCACACCCAACTTGTATGAATACGGTTGATTTATATAGAAATGATAGTTTAAGTAAATAAAATATTTTAATCATATTTTGAAAAAGAAGTTTTTAAAAATGTTATACTATGTATTGAATATGTGAATGTTGTTTTTGTTCTTAAAAGCGATAAAATTTTCTTCTGTTTATTTTTCTTGTTGATTCACCATGAAATGAGAGTTGTAATAGCTAATATATTAGTCAATGAAATGATATATAAGCAAATTAAAAAAGAATATCTATTGTTTGTTTTTGATATTTTTGTATTACGTTGAAAATCAAGTAAAATTTCTATTACTATTGTTAGAAGAACATTGTATGAGAAAAATACAGTTCTAATTTGTAATATATATTTCTTCTAACGAATATTGATTTTAGATCTCATTTTATATATAATTTTTATCTAAAGTAATTACTAAAACTCTATTCTCAATTGTCGAAATATAGTTCCTTATGTACATTTATTGAACAAGTTAAAATACTATATAGACAATGTTTTGTTTACTGTACAATTACAATTGTAATACTAATTGAAGACTCTATCAGATAATATTTTTGACAAGTGATAGATATTATCATTGTTGACATCGATTGCAGGAAAAAATACAATTTTTGTTTGGAAACGTTTGAAATAAGACTCTTTTTTAAATTTGTTGTGTCGTGATGAACAAATTTTTCTATATATATATCAAATATTACTTAGATATTTATTTATCGATTGCATTTCTATTACTCGTATTCTCTATAGTTATTAATTGACATGTGTGTCTATTATAGAAGAGTTTTCAAGTTATGTCTAACTGAATAGTAACCATATGTATGTTTGGGATCTTATTATATGATTATTGTGACTAACATAGTTATGAGTTGTGTGACTGCTTTTGTTAATGAAATCATCATTTATATAGATAACTTAAGTGGAAATATGGAACAAATACAAAATTCAATTGTATACGTAAATTTGAAAGAAGAAATAAAAATAAAAATCACATGAATATCTATTGTTCATATTTTACAGTACATTTCACGATTATTGATGCTTTAATGTTTCGACAAATTATTTATGTACATGGTTGTGATCAGTGAATAAGAAATGTATTAAATGAACATCCCAAGATATCTACCAATGTATAGCCAATATTTTCTAAACAAGAATAGAAAAAAAAACGATATTTTTTTTTCTTAATGAAAGAAAGAGACAAACATGTCAAACTAATCATTTGGTGAAAAAAGTTCATTATGAAATGGATTAATATGAATAACATCGTGTAGGGAGAATTGTATTTCATAATGGAATTTTTGATGCTATTAAACCAACGATTAGTTCGTAATAGGGATTTAAAAAACCACAAAAAAAATATAGCAATTAAGTACTAATTTTGTGAATGATGAAGAACAATACAGATAATGTCATTTTGATGTTGTTATCAGTGGTATTAAATCATGAGTTTCTAGTACAACTAGAGTAAGATTTGTAACAACAAATTATGAATCGTGTTCATGATCTTCAAGAATGAAACAAGGATGTCTTAAGTTTATGATTGAATGAATTATAAATTATAAAATAAAATCTATCTGCATTATGAGAAAAAAAGGTTTGATCGGTTAAAATTGTTTTTTCTGCTATTTGATATTTCTCTATAGGATTATTAATAGTTCATATCCATAATGTACTATAGAAAGAGAAAAATAAGATCTCTATATTCAATTACTTTGTAATAGTAATGGCTAAAATAATAAAGAGTAAATTTGCATGATATTAATAGAAAGTTTAATTAATTAAATTACTAATTGGTACGGTTGTGATTGTAAATTAGATTTTGATTCAAATAGTTGTATTTGCCAATTGTTTTATGGTATTTGTATAATTGAAAATCCTTGAATAAAAATGTTAACAATTCTTCTCCATTTGTTAACTAAAAATATGTATAATATTTAGAGTATTACCCTTTGCGAATATTAATAGACTCTATCGTATGATTGGTTTTCAATGACCATTTTGGAAGTAATATTATTCAAACTTGACTTTTAGAGTATTAATGTGAAAGAAAAAGTCAATAACCCTCTAGATGTTTCTGTTACAGTTAATCAAAAAGAAAATTTTTAATTAGTCGACACATTCATATACCAGTTTTCTTCTTTGAAAATCTGGGATGTTCTTTTGAAATAAGCAGATGAATACTCGTTAAAAAGACACAAAAAACCAAGGTTTGTTTTTACTTTCATTAGTTGACCCCTCCCATATGAGTGAGTTCGGCTCTTTCTTTTCAACTCCTACACGTATTTTGATCCTCAATATATTAGATCAAAAACAATATTTAAAACTTAATAGAAAAGAATTGTGTTCATAATGTCGCTTCTTTTTTAGCCTTCGGATATAAATATGGGCATGACAGAAGGACCTTTATCTTCGTAATTTATGCACTTGTTAAGTTCGAATACATCTATTAATCATGCTTTTCAATTCAGAAAAAAATCAACTGAAATACTAATATCTTTAGGTTTCAAAGTAGTCCTATATATTCGTTCACCTAGGTAGATTTTCAATATAAACTATTCATTTCATGCAGTTTCTGTGACCTTTTGTGCTAATTTGAATTATAATTAAATTGAAACCTATCAACATAAGACTCATATTGATACTTGTTTATTTTGAAAGAGTAAGTTGAATTAAATTAGACTGAACAGTTGATATTTGAGAAAAAAATACGAATGAAATTTCTGGTGAATTTATTTCTTTGAATAGATGATTTTTCGAATAGGTCTTTCTCGTTCACAGTTCTTGCAAGATTTCGGTTATTAGTGTATCGAAATCAACGGATTCATCGTTGAGCAACTCTGTAAGATGTTTGCGGGCTTTTTGTACAACAGCATCCCATAATAATTCAAAAGCTTTGAAATTCCTTTCAAGTACAGCAATGACAATGATCGATATAAGAATTTTACAATCAATTTGAGAGTATTTCAATTGAAATTCCGATAAAGGTTTTTGAATCAAACGTTCAATACTTTCAATGTCAAAATTCCAAAGACCATTGAATGTTTGTTTCTTGATGATATGGCGAACAATATCTTGGTCATTTTGAGGCCAATTATCATATATACTGTACTGTCTCTTCTTAATGTTAGTTGTTGTTAAATCTTTATCACCAGCAGTATGTCGGGAAGGAGTTTCATCGTCACCCGTCATTGTTTCGTCATTTGATGAACTTTTTATACATTTCGGTGAACAGAATACAGCATTTGAAGGTGATAGTATATACTGCGGTGAAGTAGGACTATAACTACTCGGTGAAGTAGGTGAATAACGTGGTGAAGTAGGACAATAACTTGGAGAAGCAAGAGAATAACTTGGTGAAGTAGGTGAATGACACGGTGAAAAATAACACGGTGAAGTAGGAGAATAACACGGTGAAGCAGGTGAATAACACGGTGAAACAGGACAATAACTTGGTGAAGCAGGACAATAACCAGGTGAATAGCAGCATAGTGAAAAATAAGACGGTGCAGTGGGAGAATAAATTGGTGACATTCCATTATGAATTGATGGGTAAGTCGATTGTAAGTATTGATTATCTGCAGATATTTCAATGGGAACTTCACGTAAAATCATGTCACTGTTGTCTTGATTTATTCGTTTCTCAATGCCAACAAACGCAGTATATGGACTTAATATATTGTATTTAAGAGACAATGCAATAACTTGCTCTTTCTTCGTTATAGTTTCTTCTTTTTCTGATTGAAATAGAATTTGTCTTGTGGATTCCTCTGATGGAACTTTCTCATGTAGTAATTCAAGAATAAGTGCTTTTGCAGCAAGTCTTGCAATTGTTCCATTGTCACATACAATCGGTACTCGATTGACTTTAGCTGTAGCTAATCGATGATTATCTGGATGAATTTCAATCTCAACAGAAGAATCATGATTGAATGGAATAGTTTTATCACTAATGAGAGCGTATGCAATGATTCTATCATTGAAATAGATTGGGGGTAACTGTTTCGGAACATTTTGAACTTCAACTCCAAGATTCCATTTAATATGTGTATTAGTAATGCATGGTTGAAGAGCTCTGTGTAACTGTTGACATACTCGATCATCAACACTTGTATTTGGTGGAATAAAAGTAAATTGACCGTTGGTGGATCGAGCAAGACCTTTAACAAAAGAACGGCTGGGTGATTGACCTAAACCAAATGAAAATATTCGACTAGTTGAAGCCATTGATCGACATAGTTCGAGCACTTCAGAAACATTGGAAATCTCTCCATCAGTTAAAAGAAAAATCTGACGTCCTCGTCCTTGATCAGGCGTTTGTTGTTCAAGCCATTGTAATGGTCTTAGCTACATTAATTCAACCAATAGAAATTGAGAAGAATCGAAGAAGGAAAATACTTACTAGTTCAGTGCCACCCATATCGGCTTGCATACATTCAATGAGTTCTTCAGCTTTTCGAACATTTTCTTCATTATAGATTGCAGTACGCTTTTCAAAAAGACTTTCATAATCGGAACCAAAACGAATTATATTGAAATAACAATTGATCGGTAAACTTTTGAGAAAGACAAATATTGCTTGTCGTACAAGTTCGATCTTATTTTCATGTTGCATTGATCCGCTACAATCAACAACAAAAATAAATTCATTATTCAATATCGTTGGTTGACAATAATTGTTATCAGTAGGTACTAATGCAACCATCACAGCACTAGATTCAACAGCAAGAATCGTACTATCATGTTGTGTTGCAAATTCAATATTGATTCGTATATCTCGATCTAAATGTGTATTTTCTTGGCTAAACGTTATTATATAAGCATCTGTTTGGTTCATATCGATTTTAATCGGATGTGATGTTGAATTTATTTGAGCAATCTGTTGTCCAATCTTTTCAATTCGGCAATAAAATTCAATTGTATATGGACATGATTGAACATATAAAGAATTTGTATTTGCTGGTGATGAAATTCTACTCTTTTCGGGATTGTAACGAGGTGCAATAGTTGTTGGAACTACGAATTCAATTGTAGATTTCTGAACAAATTCCAATTCAGAAACATAAGCTATAGTAATAATACATTCTTTTGATGGAGGTAAACCGCCAATATTAACAATAAAACTATCATTTGATTTTTCATCTTGCTCCAACAAATAAGCCCCATAGTCTTGTTTTAGAGCATTAATATATTCTTGTTGTGCCTCCTTCTTCTCTTTTAATTCAGCAATGATTTCTCGATCATCAATATGAGCTCTAAATGAATAGATAGCAGCTCGCTCTTCGATAGGAAAACAATAGACTGCTTCAATTGGTGTCTTCTCCTCGTTTCGAAACACCTGTGTTATGGTTACATCTGCAGCAAACGAATGAATCGTTGCTTCAATCTTTACATGCTTTAGAGGTACATAGTACTTCTGATTATTGGAATGAGACGTTTCTGTGTTAGCTTTGATTTGAAGCATGTTATACCTTGCCAAAAGTAGACAGAAATGAGATGTGTTGAATGCAGCACACACTTTTATAGGCCCCTCCAGAGAGAACAGAAAAAAAGGCATTCTCACAACAGGAAGAAAGAGAGAAAAAACAGCAACCAACTTTCTCGTTGTGCAATAATATGAAATGACTCATCGGAAAAGTAAAGCGAATTGTTATTTCGCTTTCAAAGATTCATATTGCTCACATATTAGTGACATCTTTACCAAAGCTCTAAAACTACGTATCACATAGAGTTATAATTCGTCACGAACAAATTACATTCGTAAATCAAAATCATTCTAATTATTTAATTTCACATAGCTAACTCAAACTGTAACTTAATTATACATGCAAAAATTGTATTATTGCTTTTGTTATCTCGCGAGACATGCTTCCGTTGTATATATCGATTTTGGAATTTTGTCCGATGTAATCGCACAGATATTATTTTTTTTTCAGTTGACGAGAAATATTTTCTTCGTGAAAAGAAACAGAATGTACATTGAAGAATTGTTATTTTCGATGATCAATTGTTACTGTTATATTTTATTACAAGATTTCCATTTTTGTTTTAGCTTATTGAGTGATTGAAGGCAACATTGTAATCGATTAATGTGTAGAATCGAATATTTTTTTTTCGCTCGAATGGTTCTACTTGTTACAATCGAAGAGGAACACTGATCGAATTCGATTACTTTCATATATCAACAGAAATATTATCATAAAATGTATTACGATTGATATCCCTAGAGAATGTACTGAGTGCAGGGTACCCGAAAAAGTACCCTGCTACCAGTATGTCACAGGAACTTTTGGGTACCTAAGTACTTTAAAGTACTTTTGGGTACTTACTGGATACCCTGTCGGGTACCCTGCTGTAAAAAATACAGTATGTAGATACTTACAGGTACTGCTTAGATACTTGATTCGGTACTAATAGCAACACTTACAAGTACCTTGTTAAAAGGGACCAGTAAGTTGCCGATTGAATCTTACCTTAGATTTCGTTACTTTTTTCTTGTAATACACTTCAAAGTCACAAATCTAATTATTTACTGCTATACTTTTTATGCAAAAAGGTTTTAATTTCTTTTTTTCAGAATTAATATTGTATAATCGAAAATTCGCAGTTCCTTTGTCCAAGGATCAGATTATATAAGAAAGATACAATGGTTTATTATTATGTATAAAATTAAATACTATTTATTGAATCAAATAAAATAATCAGCAGTATGTTACAAGATTGATTGGGTCTTATAATATGAGAAAAATCAGAAATTTACAAGATAGATTAAAGAAAAAAAAATGAAAACTAGAATGCTTAATGAAAATGTTGTGCAATTCTCAGATAAGATGCTATGTTTCTGTTCATATATATCCCATAGAAGTTGAATAAAAGTTTGACAAATACCATAACAAAATCATAAAAAATGAACTGTTAGTAAATCACCACTAAAATTATCTATAATCAGATAAAAAACGTTCACAATTTTTATCCATTAAGATATTAAATTGATTAGTTACTTAAAAACTTAAATTTTGTTTAAAATAAGCATCTGGTGTTATTAACATATCATTGGATGGTATAGTTCCTATTAACGGTTGTTGACTCATCGATGAATTTGCAACTTGTCGAGCTAATTTCGTTTTCATATTTTTTTTAATATCGTTAGCTAATGATGCCATTGATTTGGTGACTTCTAGCCACGTTTCATTTATATTCGCTATACCGGGACAACGATACTGTAAGAATGCTAAATATAAAGATGACAGTTAAATTAGTTATACATATCTCGTATCAAAGTTACAACTTCAGCAATAAAATCTATCAGAGTTAATTTTATTTCATTTAGCAATAAGTAATTTATTAAAGTCGAATATCATATTGGTGAATATATAATCAAATTTTTATGCCAATGAATACTTTTTATTCAATAATAGAAATCACTTATAAGTTATGAGAAAACAATTATTATCACGCTAATATTTCTTTTTTTTTAAATTTGTTTCAAATGAATATGGAGATTGATCTGGTTTTAGCTTTTTATAAAAATAGTGTGATGTAAAAGATAATGCATGAATAAAGGACAAAAAAAAAGAAGTTCTTGAGAGTAAGGCATTTACTCTTTAGTTATTAAGTCAAGCTACTAAAAAATTTTTCATGTAAAAGTGCTCATATTTCGTATGTCATTTAGTCTAAGATGAACACCAAGAATAGAAAGGTTTATGCAACAAGATTACTTAAAAGTTAAACTGTACAACTTGAAAGTGTCAACAAGAATATTATGCCGTAACAAATAAATTTTATTCAGATTATTAATCGATAAGCATGAGTATCAGCCGAAATAATATATCTTTTAGATGTTCATGAGCATAAGTACAAAAAAGAGTTATCAATGTTCAAATATTTCCAATATTTCGGTAAATAAAAGCTATATTTTTATTATTTCATTTTATACATTTTATATAGATTTATTTATCTTAAATTTTCTTCTTGCAATTTAAGAAAAATTTCCATAGTTGAATAATTGGTATTCATTAGAAGAAAGAAATTTTTATCATATATTCAGCAATATGATATTAGACTTTAATAAATTACTTACTGCTAAACGAAAAAACAAAACTAACTCTGCCAAATTCTATTGTCGAAGCTGTAACTTCGATACGGCATATGTATATATATATATATATAATGTTACCTTTTAATAAATTAGAATGTTTTTCTAAATACTGTCGATAATCAGATACATGATTCGATATTGTAAAAAGATTTCGAATGATAATGGTAGGCCGATCTCGTGGACCTTTTACTTGATCAGCTTCAACATCGAAAATTTCCTCAACGATAAACGATATGTCAGATTGTCTTAATATGAAGAACGAAAACGTACTAATATGTTTGCATCAAGTAATATATATATATATTCTTATACATATAATGATGTTGTTGGGAAATAAATACTCGTTCAGATTAAGTATATTATAAAAAAGATTTATAGAATACAACTGAAAACTCAAATTCTTATTGAAGAAAAGCTACAGAAAAACATATATATTTTATTCTTCATTTGGTCTGTTGATTATTATGGAATAACATTTAGTTCAGACATTTAAAAAAACTCACCATCAAGTCTAGACACTCGACATCTCTTCTGATAAGTTTATTAATCAATTTTTGCTTTTATTGCATTGAAAAGTTTCTTTTTTCTCAGTTGTAACGTTGATAAATTATTACTATATTTACTATTATTTTTCACGAGTCTCCAGATCAATAATTATTATTAATTATTGGACAGAACAGTCAATCATTATTCTTTGATTCGGAAGTAAAAAAAGATTTCAATTTTATAACCATATATTTTTCTATAATCTGACATTTAATTTTCATTTATCATTCATAAATAGAAGTGATACTAAATGACGTATCTAAAAAAATAAACATCTTACTTTGATAGATAAATTAATATGATCAATATTTGCTGGTACTGCTGTTGTCGATGATGATTCTGTACTGGTCTATAAAATGAAGAATCAAATCAATATCAGCATGTTGAAAACTATACTCACACTTTTTTGTCGAAAAAATTGTTTTACTGCCGGTACGACACGTTCAACACGCTCCACACGCTTCGAAATGTTATTTATAATCTCACGTAAGTCCCTACATCCTTTACATTCAATATCTGTTGAATCTGAAAAGTAAATTATAGATATTTTTCTGTTGCTGGTATA